GCACCGGGCCGGAGCGGAACCGGTGAGTGCGGCCGGGAGCGGAGCGGAGCCGTGCGGGGCATGGAGCGGAGCGGGGGCCCGGGGCTGCGGAGCCCGCGCGGGGGCTGCTGCGGCGGGGAGCGCCGGCCCGGCCCGCCGCGAGATTGGCGGCGGCCCCGGCTGCCTGCGATCGGGGGCAAAACTTCAGCTTCCCGCTTCTCGTGGGCTCTTTCGTTGTTTCGCCTCGCTGGGGAACGCGGTTGTCTCCCTCGTTAATTTAAAATTTTTAACTGCGTCAGGCGAAGGCGCTCCGGGCGTCCTTATCCTAGTTCTYATCCTAAAATAGGGCGAGGGCAGGGTTGGGAAAAGAACGGGCTAGGAGTGYTTCCCGAGTGAGCCGCCGCTGGTCCCGCTCTGCCCGGCCGCGGCCCCTCCGCCGTGCCCCGGGCGGGTGGGTCGCGGAACCTTTCCGCGCTCCGGAGGTGCCCGCGGGCTCGTTCCGTGAAGCGGTGGCTGCCGCGGGTGGCAGTGTCCCCCGGCCATCCGCGCCTCGGGATGGGCATCTCCCTGCTCCTTCCCAGCGGGCCCGGACAGAACCGGCTGGGACGGCAAATGGGAGCTGCGAGCGCTCGCCCCGCTCCGGAGGCTTGGTGGAGTTGATGAAGTTGGTGCTGGGATGGGTTTTTCAGAGAGAGCTGCGGCTGCTTCCAAAGTTGCTGGTGAAGGAGAAGCACTGTGAGGGCTGGCTTTGGGCGTTTTGCTCTTGTCGTCTTCCTTGTCTGCCGAGTAGAAATGGAGGGACTCTAATCCTGGGTGCTGCGTCGTGGATGGGAAGGCAGAGGTTGGGCAGGCAATGACCTTGGCTGGGGCGGAGGGGACCCCTCTTTGTAGAAGAGGTGAAATRTGGGGAGCGGGGAATTTGCCTCACRAACTGCTGGAGAACAACAGCCTTCCCGAGCCTCGAGCTAGGGGTTTAACTGGGGCTGGATTCACCTCTGTCGGGGGGAGGGAAGTGCAAGGTGCATGCTTATTGAGATCTCCGGAATGTAATTTTTCTGTTTTCTTCTGAGTGTTTTTTGTTTAGCCTTACGTATTCAACTTTGTAACTGTCTCAGAAAATTTATTCACAGGCTAATTTTATTCTAGCGTGCTGGAAAAGTTGCATATCACCCCTGATACATTCAGCTACTCAGCTCTTAYGCGTTCCTCCCTGTAGTACAGTCAGCCTAGTAGTTGCTTCCCTTTCAGTGAGCAACGGGATGAGGGAACGTGCCTTTGTCATTATCGATGGTGAGCCTTGCAGCCTGGGGTTTCGGAATAGCTCAGCATCTGCTTGTAGCTAAATGCCTCCTCCTGGGTGTCACTGCACAGTCCAGCCTGCCTGCCTGTATTCTGCGTGCCATGGGCGCACATGCAGATAACTCAAGTGTTTTCTGCAGGACTGAAAAGGTTTTTTAGCAACTACTGTGAGCTGGTAACTGTCAGAAGGGGTTGTTAGACTGGGGATAATGGGTGCTGGCAAAATAAGTTGTTGTATCTGTAGGTTTGTGTGATTTCACGATCTGTTTTCATCACCTTTTTTTTTTTTTTTTTTTTCCTTCCCTTTTTTTTTTTTTTTTTTCTTCCTTCCCTTCTGCTTTTTCTTTTTCAGAGTGATCTTGAGTTCTTCCTAACTTGCTAGTGCTCAGCCTCCTCATGCCTCCATCTCCTTTAGACGACAGGGTAGTAGTGGCACTTTCGAGGCCAGTGAGACCTCAGGATCTCAACCTGTGTTTAGACTCTAGCTTCCTTGAATCTGCCTCTTCTGCTGGTGAGAGCCACTCCAGTCTGCTCGGCGCAGCCGTCGTGTCCCTAAAGACTGCTAATCTCACGTATATGCCCTCATCCAACGGCTCTGCACGCTCCCTGAGTTGTGGATGCAGCAGTGCCAGTTGCTGCACTGTGGCAACGTACGACAAGGACACTCAGGCCCAAACTCAAGCGAGCACCAGCAGCGCCCACGCCGGAGCCTCCCCCGCCTGCCCCGCCAACCAAATGGTCAACAGCAATGAGAACRCCGGCAACCTGAGCCCGCTGGGCGGAGTGGGGAGCCCCGTCTCGGGCAGCGCCAAGCAACTCGCCAGCATCAAAATCATCTACCCCAATGATCTGGCCAAGAAGATGACCAAATGCAGCAAGAGCCACCAACAAAACCAAGGGCCTGTCATCATTGACTGCAGGCCCTTCATGGAGTATAATAAGAGCCACATTCAAGGGGCTGTCCACATTAACTGTTCTGACAAGATCAGCCGGAGAAGGCTCCAGCAGGGCAAGATCACTGTCTTGGACTTGATCTCCTGCCGGGAAGGCAAGGACTCCTTCAAGAGAATCTTTTCCAAAGAAATCGTAGTTTATGATGAGAATACCAATGAGCCAAGCAGAGTAATGCCTTCCCAGCCGCTCCACATAGTGCTGGAGTCACTCAAGCGAGAAGGCAAGGAGCCTCTAGTCCTAAAAGGTAACCCCCMTCATTGTCCACTTGTAGTCTTGTGGTTTGCTCTGCAGTATGTGTTTTCTGCTGTTAGCCTCACTGATGTTGAACTTTGAAAGCAGCTGTTTATCTCTAGGAAGGCCGGTGTGCCTCAAGTCACCAGTGGCAAAGCAAATGCCTTCTGTGGGGAAATCGTGCAGATGGTAGCAGGGAGATGCTTGCTTTTCTCTGAATGTTGTCCTTGAGTAGCAGGAGGGGTGGGAAGTGGAAGGAGGAGGAAATGTGCTTCCTGGTGTCTGTCTGTGCAGACAAAGAATTTCCCCCAGTGCTTATTCTGACTATTTATAGCCCAAGGAGCAGAGGTCCAGCAGGGGATACTTCTCTTTTAGCTTGTCAGACTGACCTTTGCTTAGCAGCCCTATTTTAGTCCATGTAAAACTGGACTCGTAGGTACTGGAGATGGGCATTGGGAGAGTAGAAGAGCGGGGAGGAAAGATGTGGGAGGTCACTTGGTCTGAGGCATTGTGTCATGGASCAGTCRGCAAAACTTGAGGAGTAATCAATCCTTGTTTTGGTGATATGGGGCTAGAATAATGGACAGAGGGGAATTATTTGTTTAAAAAGTGATCCGAAAATGTTGTGTTTATGTGTATGTGTGCTTATATAGGTATATGGCTTTCCTTTAAAGGCTCCTGTTTTAATATGGAATTTGGTTCATCCCTTGAGGCTTTGGTGGAGATGAGCCCCACCAATTAAGGCATCATCCAAGGACACTTCCCTTTCTTCACTTTATTCTYGAGATCCTATTTATAACAATGCTGCCCTCTAGATTAAATTTCCTTTCCCCTGGGTGTTTATGCTGTTCAGAGGCATGGTTGGCAGAGACTGGCTGTGGCACTGGGAAACTGAAAAGATTTGCTGCTTTGTTCATACTATATGTACTTAATTTGCTTGATTTTTTTTTTAGTGCAGCTTACCACTTCCAACCTGCACAGTGTGGCAGGAGAGTGGAGTGGGCGGTACTTTATCCCTTTTCCTCAGCTGAGTTTCATAGCTTTGTAAAAGCTAAGGGTCCTGTGAGATATTTCTCTGTGAGTGATCTTGTGGAAGCTTGAAATTGCTGTCTCCTTGCTSCCGGCAAGAGTATGGTCATGCTGGGCTTATTTTGATACTTGCTACAGGTTCCCAGTATGCTTTTATTGAATATCTGGGGTCATGATGGTGCCCTTCATCTGTAGAAGAGGGGGATGAGGYGCTTGGCAGAGTGAGGTTACTGCTGGAGCCCTGCATTTCTGGTGGTAATCTTTCTGTTGTACAGCCTTTGCAGCTGAATGCACGGATGTAGACTCTGAGCCTTGCTATCCTTAGAAAAGTAGTGTGTTGAAGGTGTCTCTTTTGTGTTTCCCTGAAAACACTGTAGCTTCTCTGAACCTCACCCTGGTACTTTTTCAGTACCTGAAGTAAGATTGTGACTGAGATGAAGCTGCAGAGCAGTAATAGGGGAATGCTGAGCAGGTTGTGGCAGCCCCTTCTCCCACCTTCCAGCTCTGTATACTGTACTGGCTTTAACCAGTGCTTGTGGCACTCCTCGGGCCATTTTTTGTTTTCAGCCGCTGAAAAATGTTACCTCAAAGCCCTGCTTAACAGMAATCCCCTCCCCCAAACTGGCCTGTCAACAGATCTGGAAATGTGCCAGAAGATAGACAGCCCAAATCCTTTGCTTTTTGGATACAGCGATCAGCTGGGCTGGAGCAGACCTCACCTGGGGGAACCTGGAGTGAGCAGCTCCCCCCATCAGCTTAACTCTGCTCCCCTTCATTGAAGTGGGGATTCCAGCTGGTGTCAGATGGAGTTGAGCATGGGATAAAGCAGCGTTCAGGAAGGCTGTGGCTAAGTTTCCGAGCTGGGGGAGTGGCGCTGGAAGCGCTCGTTATTTAGTTTCACTTGAGAGATAGCGTTTTTCCATCATGCTTCAGTAGCCCTGGAGCTGGCGCGTCCCCATCCCTGGGTTCGGGCACTACGACRAAACCGGGGGTGGCCGGGGATCCCTCTTTACCTGCGTTTGTCACTTAGAGTGGTTTCTCTCGCTCCCTGCYGCCCGGCCCTAATTTATTGCCGGCCCATCTGATCCCCGTGTTGTGTTTGCAAACACTGGTTGCTAGCCTGGTTGGCCGAGCTGGCGTCCCCCGCTCCGGTGCCACCTTCTCCATGTTTGGTGCTGCCTGTCACCGCGGCCGTGCCCGTGGCACGCTGGCACCACCGGGGCTCGGTCCGAGCTCCGGAGCCGGGGCTTGGGTTACAGCCCTCCCTGACCGTGCATGGCCCCGCATGCGGTCGCGTTTGAGGTGCCCCAGGCTTTTGAAGCGGCACCGAAGCCCTGTGCTGTTTTCCAAGGCTGGGCTGTGATCTATAGATAAATGTATGTGTGCRCCGTATTAGGCGCGAGTTAAAAAGGGGTGATCTGGTTTATTTTTAATGTAGCACCATGACAAGAGAGGGTTTTGTGTATGCTGTGGCATGGAGGATTTTAAGAGCTCTGTTCTTCCCTTTCTTTCCATCCCTCTCATTGCTGTTTCCTTTTACATTTTTGSTCATAAACATATGCATAATTTTGATTTATGCTCTTAAGAAGAAAGAATTGCTTATTTCTTTTGCCACAAGGCACAGCAACACTTGAGACAGGCATAAATCCTCTATTTTGACAAAAAAATAAACCCATAAGAATCCTGTATTTCACAATGCTGCTACACAGGCTGTAGGAGCCTGAGCTGTCAGGGATGAAGCTGGTACTCAGTCTGTTTATAAACAAAATAGGAAGAATTTATTTCCCCCAACACCCCTAGACCGTGGTATTCCATCTTTGCTGAAACCTTAAGGATTTTTTTTTCACTTTTTGTGGGTGTGTTCTTTTTTTTAATTTTCTTTTTCTTGGTGTTGTAAGGGAGCAGGGGCAAAACCAGTGATATGAGCCCAGTGTCCCTTCTGCTTGAGGCCAATGTCAGAGCTGAATTTGAGGAGGGGGAGAGCCATGATCCTGTGACCCTGGGCTSGGTCAGAAGCCCTGGCCCTCCTTGGTGGGGCTGTATCCCTTCCCTCCTGCAAACCCAACAATGAGGCATTTCTTCCTGCCTTGAGCATCTCAGCTCATAGCAAAGTGGTCTSAAGTCTTGGGGGCTTGTGTGCTTGAGTTTGCTACTGGGACCTAAAAATGGAAAGTGGGAATTTGTTTGCATCCAGATGAAAAGTATTCTTTTTCCCTGACTGAAACATTTAGGCTTGGAGTTCAGCATTTTTTTTTCACAAGTTAAATTAAATCTACAAAGGAAAAAAAAAAAAAGAAAAATTGAAGTGTCTGTGCCAGCACATCTTGACAGCTTTTAACACAAGAGCAGTTGCCCCTGTCTCCCTGACCAGGGTCTAGTGGTAGTGTCTCCATCCTGCCATTCTTCCTCTTCCTTCACAAGTGGGAGCCTTGTGAACCTGCTTAAGTCTTGTGTTTAGTTTGTAAAGCCTTCTGTGTTTGACTTCAAGGAAGCAATAGAATTCAAAAGCAGAGGTGCAAAATGTGATTTGGCCTTCTTTTTTAATTTCCATTATATGCTGTAAACTCACAGCTGGACTTCTGCAAAGGAGATGAAGAGGAACGGCTGGTTCCTTCTCTGTTCTTGTTCACAGTCTGAGGAACTTACTTATGCTCTGGCTTTCAGTCTTCTCTCTGCTCATCTCACAGGGAAGTAAATGAAGTGACTTGCTCTCATTATAGTGGGGAGTGTAAGACCTGCCAACAAACCACTTCATGCTTTCTGGTCTAAGAATAGTTTCAGATCTCTTACCACTCTCGAGTCACATATCAGCAGAGTCGAAACAACTACAGGGGGACTGAGATGCCTACAAAAGGAATAATTATTTGCTTTATGTTGTCCTATATTCATGTAAATACTGTGATCAGCTGCCTTGGAAATACCTGACCTGGTCATAATCTGTACAAATACATTATTAATTATTACTGTCAGTTATATAATTTAACAGTGTCAGTGTTGCTTTAAACCCTAATTGGATTACACTGCACAAGTGTATTTGAAAGTAAAACTTGATGTAATGGTCAACAAATCCAGCTGACCAACAAAACACGTGCCTGGCACTTATTTCCACCAGAGATCTCCACTGAATAAGTATTAGGTCATGGCTGTAATAGGGAAATGTGTAGTTTTAAGCACACTGGATGTTTCATGTGCGTTACTTAACACTTAAAAATAAAGTGTGTTCCCTCTGTGCTGTAGAGGAGAGCTGGCCCCATCAGTCACTGGGGGGAAAAAACTGCTGGTTCTGTTAGGGCTGAGATTTCACRTTCAGTTTTCAGACTCTCCTTGCTGGAGCTTTAAGTATCTTCTGGAATGAATAATCTTCTTGGCCATAACACTTGAAAATTGGTTGTATGCATCTGTACCTTTTGCATATAGGTAAATTGGGACMATAGTGTGGGTGGTTTTTACTGTATTTTGAGGGCATTCTTCTGCAGAGGAGAGTACCTCTAAACTTTGCCTATTCAACAGTAATGGGAAATGTGGCATTTTTTCCCTGATTGTGGCATTTGAGCACTTACTGTGCTGGCTTGCATGGTGTCGGTCACATTTTAACTGTCCTTGGGGGGGGGAGAGCAATGACACTTCCTTGGAAAGAGAGGAACAGGAAGGAGCTTGGTTTTTTGGTTTTTTTTTTTTTTTTCTGTTTTTGGCTCCCCAGCTTCTCATAACCTTGGAGTTAAGAACTAAGAGTTAAGAAGCAAACTGTGACATTAGGCAAACATCTCTGATCCTTGTAAAGAAATTTGGCTCCAGTTCTGAGTAAACTGGGGTAACATTCCCTGTGATGTTGCTCGTAGGTAGATGGTGGGTTATAATTAGCTGAATGCCTCATGTGCTACCCTTACCCTTGCCCTGCCAGAGGTGAGAAATTCTGCTAGTGAAATCTTTCTTGGATAGTGTGCTGATCTGTCTTCTGGCTTTTTATTCTTGAGGTGAGCACAA